CGCACGCACGCACGCACGCACGCACGCACGGACGGACGGACGGCCAGGCTCGCAGACAGCCGGCCTCGCCCGACAATGGGCAAGCCGAGCGCGATGCACGAGTGCAAGACCGGCCGACGATCAGCGAGATAGGTGGGCGGCGCGAAACATGAATGCCACCAAGCATATGAAGCCGTCTGCGGCTGGGCGTGGCTCTCTTGGCATCGAACGATTCGAACGACTCGACGAATCGAACGAATCCAAGGGGGCCAGCCTCGACCAGCGACATGGGTCGTCGCAACGGAATCCGAAAAACCACTTCCGCAAAATGGGTGCACGGTATGGCTCGAGTATCGTGCTGAGTGCGCATGCCAACACGGACCGATCCCTCGGCCCCGCGTCCCATGGCACCTCTCTCCCGCGTTCCGATCTCGATCCGCCATCACCTTTGCGAGCATGCTCACGACTTTAGCCAGCCATCTTTGCGTGCCGTGGTGAAAGTTTGTCGAGGTTGCAGTGGCTGGCAGGGATGGTGAGCCTTTGTGGCATGAATTTTGGTCGGCTGCATGTGATGATACTGCATGGCCAGGGGCTTCAGCCTATTGTATTTTCACCGCTGCTGTTTTTGCCGCCCTCGACCGACTTTTTCTGGACCCGCGCGCGGACGGGGCGGAGGCGGTGGCCAAGCGATGCAACCGATCCCTCGACGGATTCCGGCTGCAGCGGACAAAGAAGACGGCGCATCCAACTGCCTTGACCCCTGATACCGGCTCTTCTGCGGGTTTTCTTTTTCCTTTTCGAATATTTTATTTTCATGTGATTTTGTGGGTGGGTTAGGTGCAGAGGAGGCGCGCGCGCGCGTGCGCTTTTGCTTTGGGCGGATGTGCGTGTTTCAGCGAACAAAAGAGGCCAGGGTGCAGCAGGCGCAAGCAAGCGAGAGAGCAGGTGCCGCTGCTTGGAGGCTGCAGTTCGGATCGAGCGCAGCATCGGTGCTCTGCTCCGAGCCCACCTTTTTTTGATGCGGTGTTGTGGCTCGACGGCGTGCGTTGGCAGTGTTGCTCCACCTGCCAAGTCGAGAAGCCATGCCGACTGTCCGCGCGCTGCTACAGCCATGCTGCTGATCCCGAAGCATTTTCCGCCAAACGCAGCCTCGGTGCGCCTCCTCGTCGTCGTCCACCTCGGCACGCCAGTCCGCCTCCGCCTCGCTTGTCTGCCTTGGCCCTCTCTCCGACACCACCGGCCCCCCTCGCCCCCGCATCACATCGCCACCTCCTCCCCCTCTTCCTCCCTCTACCACCTCACTCCGTCCTCGTTTCGGGACGCTTGCATCCACCAACGCGGTCGGTAGCTTCTACACACGCTCGCCCTCTCGCCTCGCCTCACCACACCTCCCCGCTCGCCCGCTCGCCCGCTCGCCCGCTCTCCCGCCTCCACCACGGGCCTCTCGACGTGCATCTGGCATCTTTGTCGTCGTCGCCGTCTCCACCATCACCTACATCGCTGCCACCATCTCTGTGGTCGTAGAGCCGGCTCGCATCGTCCTCCACACCCTTCGCTAGCGCCGTCAACACATTCGCGGCCAGCACAGTTCAGGCTTCGTCTTACTGCACCTGCATACACAGTCGGCCTGCCTGTCGACCACGATCTCATTGCATACAGTCTCTTCGCCTTCTGCCGACTTTGCAACCTTGTGGTTGAGTGCTGCTACAGGCAAGGTTTGAACGTGACGTTTGGCTCATCGGACGCGTCCGGTCGTAAGCTGCGCCAAGCTCTGCCGCCTGCACTGGAGCCCAAAAACAGCCACTTTGCACCCGTCAACCTCGAGCTTGATTGCCCAACAGCGCCCTCTCTCATCACCCGTCGCCGATTCAGCCGTCCCTGCATATCTCATTTGCATCCCATTCAGCCTCGCTCGCGCCTCATCTGCCACTACCGAAAGCCGCACGTCCATCCTCCAAGCTCGGGCAGACCGGCCTTTCATCCCGCTTTAGCCGCTCGTCTTTGGCTTCGTCACGCTTGCGCGCGCTCGCAATTGGCACGATCGACACTTTCCTGCCGTCGTCAAGCTTGAGCTTATTTGGCATCGACACTCACGGCTTGGTAAGTGCCATCCCTTCCAATCCCTGACACCGCTGCCTCGCCTCCCTTCCATTTCGCAGACCAAACCCTAATTGTAGACGTCCCTCCTCTTCTTTCTCCCTACCATACTTTGGCCTCGCTAGCTCAACAATCGGCCGCGCCCCTTCAGCTCGACAAGAGTCCCCACTTAGAGGGCAGGGATGATGGCCATTTGAGACTCCTTTTGGATCCTCCCTTCCTTTCTCACTTGCCACCGTCGTGCTCTTTCTACTATGGCTGCGGCAACAGCAACAATCATGCCATCCGCCGCGGACCTGGTCAACATGGACCTTCGCTCCACAGACATGCATCGAATCCCGCCAAAAGGCTTTGCAGACGCCAGCGTTACCAAAACCAAGCCGTTGCGCTCGCAAAAGTCGGTGCCTTCGCCGTCATCATCTCCCGCAAAGCAGTTCCGTCCTCGCTCCGCTCAGCAATCGCCCTCGATCCCACATCGTCGCGTCTACAACATCGACAGCGATCACTCGGCCATCGAAGCCGGCTCCAGCATCTCGGACGACCGCTCCGTCGCCGCTTCGCTTCCGCACTCTCCTCCACTATCCACCGCTTCGCCACCGAGATCGCCGGCTCGTCTCGCTGTGCCCTTGCCGCACGTGCACTCGGGCTCGCCCACGCGCCCCTTGGCTCACAAAAAGTCTTCCGAGCCCAGGAGCAAAGCGACGCGTAACCAGCATCTCGCCAACCTAGAGGCAGCATCTCTTTCCACCCCGGAGCTCCATCTCGCTTCGGACCCCATGCTCGACACCCAGGAGCCATCCTTCTTGCGCAGGCTCGGTCGCAACTCGCGCACTCAATCCAACGACGCCATGTCCAACACAGGCAGCGAGGGGGTCCCGTCCAGCCACAGCCACGGCCGCACGAACAGCTACAACGCCGTTAAGCCCGGCCTCGCATATGCCAGCTTTGGTGCCGCCATGAGCGCCGTCGAATCGCACACCGAGGGCTCACCCACCCTCGCCGTGCCTGGGATGCTGCGCTCGCGAAAGCAGAGCAATGCCACCATTCGCAGCGCGGATTCGTCCGCCACCGCCTCGGCTTGGACACGCGACAACGTCAGCACAGACACGCTCAGCCCACCCACCAACCACGACGCTCGCTCCACCTCCTCCTCCTCGTCAACCAAAGCTTCAACCGGCAAAACCAAGGCTCTGGGCGGGACGTGGTTCCGACGCAGCCGGAAAGAGGGCAAGGAGGGCGAATCGTCCCGAGCCGCGGGGAGCCGAGCGAGCCAAGACGTCGCCGATGCATGGACGGCAGAATCTGCGAGCCAAGCATCGCTGCAGCCCAGCGAGACGAGTGCGGCGACTGCAGGCTCAGGCACCACCTTGCTCACCGAGAGCAACGTCACCTCGCTCTCGGCCACCACCGACGTGTCTTTCGGCATGGCCGACCTCGCCTCGCCTCAAGCCGCGCTCGACAGCATTCGCAAAGCGCGATCGTTCATGATGCGAGAACTCAGCCGCCTCTCCGACGTGGATCGAGGCCTGGACCGCGAGAGGATCTCCCAACTTGGCTCGCCGATGAACGCCGAATCCCCCGACGCCGGTGCCGAGGCTTCGCATTTCTGGCACAGCATTGCAGATGGGGTGCTGCTCTGTCTGCTTGCAAACCGCCTGCGACCGGCTAGCGTGGATCGAGTCGATCGCAGAGACCTCGAGTGGGTCAAGGCGGACAACATCTCGAGGTTTTTGAGGGCAGCGCGCGACCACCTGGGCCTTCGATCCAAGGACCTCTTCCAGACATTCGATCTCACCGATGGCACTGTAGAGGGTCTCTTACGCGTCGTGCACACGCTGCAGGCCACCGAAAAGGTGATGAAGCGCAACTCCAGGGTCGCCGCACGAGCGGCGGCTGTCAAGATCGAGCCGCGCACCACATCCATGACGCCTCCCTCGACGCCACGCGCACACGACCGCAAGCCACTCTCCATGGGCACCGGCGATCTGGAGCGTCTTGCCAGCAGCTCGGAATTGTCAATCAACGACGATACGCCCAAACGGACGATGCTCACCATCCAGCAGAATCGACGCGAGGCAGAGCGCATCCTCATGGGCGCAACCGAGCTCTCGCGATCGCAGGGCTCGTCTGCCGACAGCAACCGACGCTCGCTCGAACTCAGCCGCAGCAAACAGAAGGGCGCGTCCATCACGTTTGCAGACTCGGTCAAGCAGGTCAGCTACACCGGAGACGAAGAGGGTCGCATGCCCTACCGCGACCGCAAGCTCAGCGAATCGGCCATCAGCCTCACGGGCGTGGCCGAGGAGCCCGAAGACGGCGCTGTGGGCAATGCCGAGGTTCTGCCGATGGTCGACAGCTTTTCCAGCTCCCAGTCCATCCCCCTTGAACGCGTTCAGGGCCGACGAGGCAGCAGCGAGTCTGACAAGTCCAGCAAGGGCTTCCCTGTGAGAGCCGCGCCTTTGGCTCGCAGCACCTCTCAGAAGCGCATCAGCCAAGAACTGGCGCTCGGGCAGCTTCCGAGGGCCGTGATCGGATCGACCGAAAACCTCGACGACTACATTTCTTCTTCGGGCGGAAGTCCGTCTCGCCATGCTCCTACCCGACGTCACAGCGCGCGTCTCTATCCTGGGCCGTCGCTGCTGAATCCCTCGCGCGAGTCTCTGCTCAACCTTGGCGCCCAGTCCAACGGAGAGGCAGACACCCCGCCCTCGGCCCGGGTCCCCTTCCCGCGTGGTGCCAACGACTCGCCTGGCGCACGTCGGATGGCCCGTCACCTCTCGATGAACGCCGGCAGCGTCGACTCTTTCTCGCTCACATCTAGCACCTCCACCGCCACCACCGGCAGCAGCTCGCCAAAGATCACCACGCGTCCTCAGTTCCGTCACATGCGATACTCCTCCGACTTGCATCTGCCTCTTCTCGGCCGACCGATGTCCAATGGCCCGCGCTCGCCCGATCCTTCCAGCGACGAACGCTCGTTCGTCTCAACCTCTCGCAGCCGCTTCGACTCCGAGATCGGCTCAATCTACACCAACACCCTCGGCAGCTTCACCGCGGATGACAGCGCCTCGGCTGTGACCAAGGCCAGTCGCGATGCGACCGGCCCAAAGCACAAGCTCGTCGTCACCGAGGCGGGCAAGGCGAATGTCACCTATCAGCTCGGCAACTGCATCGGCCGTGGTCAGTTCGGATCCGTGTATCGTGCACTCAACCTCAACTCGGGCCAGATGGTCGCCGTCAAGCGCATCAAGCTCGACGGCCGCAGCGACGACGAGGTCACCGAGCTCATGGGCGAAGTCGACCTGCTCAAGAGCCTCAGCCATCCGAGCGTGGTCAAGTACGAAGGCCTCGTGCGTGGTCCCGACGTCGTCTCCATCATCCTCGAGTATGTCGAGAACGGCTCGCTCCTCCACACGCTCAAAGCATTCGGCAACTTTCCGGAGAAGCTCGTCGCAAGCTACGTGGTCAAGATCCTCGAGGGCCTCAACTACCTCCACGAGCAGAATGTGGTGCATTGCGATCTGAAGGCGGCCAACATCTTGACCACCAAGAACGGCAACGTCAAGCTGTCCGACTTTGGTGTCTCGCTCAATCTCAAGGCGGTCAAGAAGATGGGCAACAAGAACGATGCGATTGGCACGCCCAACTGGATGGCCCCGGAGGTCATCGAGCTCAAAGGCGTCACCACCGCCGCCGACATCTGGTCGCTCGGATGCACGATCATCGAACTGCTCACCGGCAAGCCGCCGTACTACGACATGCTAGCCATGTCGGCCATGTTCCGCATCGTCGAGGACGACTGCCCTCCCATCCCCGACAAGTGCTCGGATGCCCTGCGCGACCTGCTGCTCCAGTGCTTCAACAAGGATCCCACCAAACGACCCAGTGCCGAGACACTCTTCGAGCACGAATGGATCCGCCAGGTCTGGTCCGGTCACAAGGAGCTGCGGCCGCAGGACAGCGTCCCCTTCCTTCGACGCATCAGTGCCGATATTCGACGACTGGATCCGCGCATCTTTGAGAAGGAAGAGGCTAGCCCCGTCCAGCCGCCCATGGAGAGATCCAGCTCGTCTCCGGACAAGACCTTGCAGCGGCCCGGGTTGGAAGCGCTTCGTGCCAACACGTCCCCGGCCGAGTCCTCTGCTGGAACGATCACGGACAAAGCGACCGGCGTCTCGCCCAACACTTCGCCACCTGCGAATGTGTCGTCCCTCCCGCCCATCGATACGACCTCTGCGCGTCAGACGGCCAAGGCGACCAGCCCGTCGCCTGCACCCGCTGCGATGCTGTCGCCAGGTGGCGACTCTTCCATGCTCGATCTCAGCCTGGTCGGCGATGAGGAGGCCAAGCCGCATGCGTTCGTCAAGAGCACCTTCAGCAAGGCGGTCGTCTGCAAGATCTGCCGCGAACCGGTCAAGAAGCATGCCGTGCTGTGCGAAGAGTGTGGCCTCGTATGCCACGCCCGGTGTGCTGGCAATGCGCCTTCGCCGTGCAATCTGCGAGCGCAGCTGCTTCTCTTCCAGCAACGTGCCTCGTTGGATCAGACGAGTCCGATGTCGTCGGCGGCCCACTTGGCGCCGGTGTCTCCCGTGCTTGGCGGAGGTGCACCTGCTGGGTCGGCGCCGATCAACTTCCGCTTCCCCTTTGGCATGAAGAGGCAGTCCAAGTCGCCAACGATCGAATCGCAGCCGCAGCTTGGCTTTGGCGCGATCGCTGGTGCGGAGACCGACGGCATCCTGCCGCCCTCGCCGCCGAGCAGCACCGTTGCACCGATTGGCAAGCCCAGCAAGGACGAAAAGGTGCGCAGGCGCCGCATCTCGCTCATTCCAGGTCGCCAGCGATCTCCGTCGCCTCCGCCCGAGAGTGCCGAGTCGCTGCAGAGCCCGTACGGCAACGGCACGCTCCACGGCGTGCGACGCCACAGCTCGATGAGCTACAGCAGCATCAGCGGTGCCAGCAGCATCTCGAGCGCCGGCGGCGTGATGCTGGGCAACTCGAGCTCGCGAGGTTCGTCGGCGCAACAGCACCAGCAACACGTGCTTGTGGGAATGTCGTCGCCGGCGCTGCCGCTCGAGCAGATGCCGCGTGCGTCGCCGGACCGCTTCCGTCGTCGACTGAGCTCGGGCGTCTATGGTGCTTCCGAGGCGACGCCCGCTGCGCGCAAGGCGACCAAGCCAGGTGTGGCGACGGGGCAGGCGACGCCTACGCCCCAGGCTGCAGTCGAGCGCAAAAAATCACGACGAGTGTCGTCCAAGACGGACTGCATCATCATGTGAAAACTCCAAACCTCTTTGTTACGCTCTCTTACGATCTTGGATCGTCACGATTCCGACACGACGCCGTGCTGGGCTCGGGGCTTAATACACGCACTCGAGCCTGGCGCAGAAGACGAAGGCGTTGCTGCGTCTTTGCGCACCTTCACGACGCACGGTGGCTTACGACGCCCCCGCTGCACAAGCATTCGCATCGTTTGCTTGTGCTGTGGAATGATACCAAACGCTTTTGCATGCTGCGTTTCTTTGCCTTGTTTGTCTCTCGTTCGTACGCACACCCTTTCACGCCTTGTATTCAATCATCTTTCCACTTCACACGTGCATGTCACAGTCTGACAAGGGGGTTTGGTGCGCGAAAGCATGCGGATTAAAACGGGCCGGCGGCAGAGAGGGGGGGGGGGGGGGG